GGGTGGCCAGGTGGCTAAGTCGGTGAAGCGTCCAACTTGAGCTGAGGTCACGATCTCGCGGTCCGTGAGTTCGAGCCCCGCACTGGGCTCTGTGCTGACAGTTCAGAGCCTGGGGCCTGCTTCGGATTCTGTCTCCCCCTCTTTCTATGCCCCTCCCCACTTGCTGCGCTCTCTCGAAAATAAATAACAATAATATAAAAACGAGAAAACAACAACAAACAACAGCAACCACACCAGGTGGGTCAGGCTTGGAGAAGAAACAGGAAGTCTGGAGAGCAAGAAGGTTCCGAGCCAGTTCTCTGCCCTCGGCGGCCAGCGTTCAAGGGAATGGGCACGCGCACCTGGCCACCCTCGCGGGGCCCTGCCTGCAGACCTGTGCGTGTGACGTCTCGCAGTGGGCCCGGCGTGGCTCGCTCCTCTGCCAGCCCGTCCGTGTCAGTTTGCCCCGAGGCTCCTACACAGGCTACACTCCCTTACGCCCCCAGATCCCACCGGGGACTCCCGTGAACCAGGACACAGGGGAAAAGCGCGGGCTCAGGGCACAGGACGCAGCTTGCCTGTTCTACTGGCTCGGTGACCGTGGAGGGCTTTAGAGGTTTTGTGCCTTATTCTTTTTCCCGTGTACAGAGGGATAATTCCTACTTCACTGGACCGTTATAAAGATCAAGTAAGACAACATGCATACCGGCTTGGCATTTAGGGAGCATTCGTAGGTGTACACAATAGCAGTAATAACTTAAAGCTTGCATGTCTCGGAGTTCTTACTGGTGATCCTGCCTGCAGCTTATACTCACCCAAGGCACGCACCCACCCAAAAACCACTCTAGGCTCCAGGAACATGGCAACAAAAGCGCAAAAGCCCCTGCTCTCGTGGCACCTGTGTTCTAGTGGAGGGATGAGGGAATAAAGGGGCAGAGCGGCCGGGGAGGCCTCTCTGAGGACGTAACACTTGGGACCCGCAAGACACGAAGACAGCAGTGAAGAGGAAGGGGCTGGCAACACGAGTGCCTCGGTCGGAGAGGCTGGAGGCTGGCACGCGCCCGGACCCCATTCTGATGTGACAGCGCTCCGGCTCACAGCTCTACTTCTCTTCTCCCGCAGGCGACTTGGGGTAGAAACGTGTGAGCCGATCAGTCATAAGCTCTACCACTTATCAACAACCGGGGGACCTCGGGCCAGACACTCTACTGATTCTGCCAAAGTTGAAAGGAGACGGTAATGCCCCGCCACCTCTGAACACGATCGTGAACAGGACCAGGGAGAAAACGAGCCCTGGAAAAGTTCTGTCCGCTGTCAACCACGGTGTGAAGTGACTTGCTGTCATTTGTCAGGGACAGCCACTGAAAGCACGCCGCGTGGGAACCAGCTTCCCCGCTCTTCAGGCCGAGGACAGCCTTCCGCCAGGGCAGCGCTAGGAAACGTCTGCTCCCAACCACAGACGGCGTATTCCCTTGGGCTCCGTCATGCCAACGTCCAGACGCACTGTGGGCAGACACTGCTCTCAAGGAGCTGGCGGGGGCTCCTGCCAAACCTGTCGGTTTCCTTTTGAAACTCACCCAGAGCGGACAACCTACAATTGGCAACTGGACCTTAGCAGTCAAGGTGTGACTACATTTTTCAGGCATTACTTCTGCTCTCTCCGCGTTAGCATAGCGTCGGCAGTTCAAACAATTAAAAAGCAGCACAGCGGTAATTATAAAAGACCCATTTAGTCTGGAGGACTATTTTATTGCAGCTGAAAAGAAATCTAATATTAGTACAATCATTCCAAGGCAATTTCTTCTTTAATTATGCTACGGCAAATTTAAAACTTATGAAAAGCATATGAAGAACTAGGAAATCAGGTGGAAAAGTTGTATCCACAATATGTATTTATAATTTTGAAAACTCGCTATAACAATCAGGGCAAAGGCGTTTAGGATGACCTCCTACTTGGGGAAACGGTCTTACCAACACTAGTTAACAACACCCGACTGGGCAGAGAGCAGCCTTACCATCTGTATTTCTTCTGGGGATAATTCGTCTTCACCTTTGCCGTCTCCCCACGTGCCCAATTCAGGTTGGGATTCAGCCGGAACCTTTTCTGTTAAAGAAAAAAAAAAAAAGAAGAAGAGGAAGAAGAAAAGAAAGAAAAGAGAAACAGAAGGCAAAATACTTCCTTTTAGACGGTGCTGATGCTGGCTTGGGATGCAGGCACACCGCAAGCATGAGCTGTTACAGCTTGTCCACACTCGGTCATCTGCTGGCTCATACTCGGGCGCTGTACCATGACCCTTCTACAGTGTTTAAGCTTGTGCGTGCATTATGTGCATGTGCGTGTGCCCACGTGTGTGCGCGTGGGCAGAAGGCGCCCCCTGCACAGTCTCAGTGCCACAGTGACTTCGGCAATGGCTGCAAACCAAAGGGCCAGTCTTCAAGTGTGTTTTACCACAAAACACAAGCTCACGCATGCCCTCCCTCTACTGTTTAAACATTGCAATATAAGGGTATTTTCACTAAAAAAAACCGCCAGGACAGGGGTGCCTGGGTGGCTCAGTCGGTTAAGCCTCCTACTTTGGCTCAGGTCACGATCTCGGGGTCTGTGAGTTCGAGCCCCGCGTCGGGCTCTGTGCTGACAGCTCGGAGCCTGGAGCCTGTTTCAGATTCTGTGTCTCCCTCTCTCTGACCCTCCCCCCGTTCATGCTCTGTCTCTGTCTCAAAAATAAATAAACGTTAAAAAGTTAAAAAAAAAAAAACAAAAACGCCAAGCCAGGACCTACCACTCCCTAATCCTATTCCTCCCCCAGAAGGAACCACTGTTAGCATTTGGTGTGGCCTCACAGACCTTACCCAGTGTGTTCACATACAAACACCTATGTAATTCTCTGCGCCACCACCCCCACTTCAATCCAGTGTGTGTACACAACAGTGGCTTATAAAACTTGCCGTGTAGGACTTCACTGTATTTGGGAGATTATCCTGAATCTGTCACATAGATCTGCCTCATTCTCTTGAAATGCTGCAGGATATTCCACTGCAAGGATACATGGTTCTTCATGTCCCGTCACCCCATGGATAACCCTTCGCTCATCTGGATCTCTCCGTGGTACAATCGCTCCGTGTGCCAGTCCTTACTTGGAGGCTCCGGGTGTACCCCGGGACGGGCGCCCGCGCATCAACTGTTGTTGACTGGACCTTTTAGAGAACTTTTTAACTGCAATCACAAATGCGTGATGGATGCTTGATGAAGTGCACCAATGGCTCGGGCTCCTAGGAAGGGCTGCAGCAGCACGTTAGAGAGGCCCGCGAGGTCAAAAGGGGTGTGCAGTGGGAACAGGGCAGTGGACGGAAGTGACCCATCCTTGATGGAGACTGTAATGGGTTTTTTTTTTTTTAAGTTAATTTACTTATTTTATGAGAGAGCTAGCAGAGGAGGGGCAAAGAGAGGGAGAGAGAGAATCCCAAGCAGGCTCCATCCACGCTGTCCATGCAGAGCCCGACATGGGGCTCGATCTCATGAACCGTGACCTCACGACCTGAGCAGCAACCAAGAGTCGAATGCTGAACTGACTGAGCCACCCAGGCGCCCTGTGGGGTCTCTCTTTCTAAAGATGAGTGTGTCTGGTGTCTCAGCGGTGCCTCTAGGCTCGTGAGCCTGGCGTTGGGTACGGCTTTTGTTTCTTCCCTCAACCTCAGTAACTTTCCCATAGCTGGTCTCGGCCCCGTGAGATGCGTGAAAGTCCAGAGTGTTGGTTTTGAGACTATGATACGGGAAAAGAATGTGTGATAGCACCAATTTAGGTATTATTATTCCAGATACATCATCACAAAAAGCCTCCATGTATCCAGAACATTGTGCAGGTTTAAAAAAAAAAAAATGGCTGTTTTTGCCAGAACTGTATTTATAAAGTTTATATATGATGTATATATACTAAATATACACGTAAATATAATAAACGTGGAGAATTTACACATAAAACGTAGGCTGAAAGCACCTTTAGAAACTGGCGGGGTGTTTTTCTGAGAGGCCATCTTCAGGCAGGAACCTCTGCACATTTCACTCACCCCACCCCCACCCCAAAGGCCCTGTGTTTCCTGCTTGACCTCGTTATGGGAGCCGAGTCAAGCTTCTCCTCTGATGTTGCTTCCGGAGAAGAGCACCAAGATGAGAAGCGTCCGTTCACATCAGGAGCTCTGAGCTGGAACACAGAATTTGCTAAGAGGACGTGCGCTCTATAACATGCTCACGTGGACAGCCACCGGGGGCCACCCTGACCTGCTGTCATAAACACTGGCCTGAAGCACAGTGCTCTTCACGCCGTCCTTGATGCAGACCTCCAGTGGCCCAGCCCCAAGACTCACGTGCAAGCTCTCGGCCCAACAGGCCCTCGACACGGCCCAGCCTCAGTCCCCACAGAACCCTCCCCTTTGCACACGCTGCACTAACCGCGTCCCACACGGCTCCACGCTTTCTGGCCTCGGAGTATTTCACATGCCGTTCCCTCTGCCTAGGATAAAGCTTCCATTTTCGGTCCAGACTCATTTCTCAGGACACTGCCTCCTGAAGTCCCCTCTGAGTGGACCCTGTTCTTCCCACCTGTGCCCTCTCTCAGGGCACGCGTCACTTTCTCAGGGGCTGGAAGCTGGTCACTCCCGTCAATCAATTGTGAGTTCCCTGAAGGCAGGAACCAGAGCTCATTTGAGAAGTGCAGGCAGTATTCACAAATAGCCACACCCATCTTAGCACCAGGGGAAACCGATGTGAGCAAACAAATTACAAACGGGTATGTCAAAGTCTCATCCTGGCACAGTAAGAATATGGAAGAGGCCTGAACCTCAGACGTGGACGGAAGGTCTGCCTGACCACAGAGGTCCCCGATACTCCAGACTAAATAAAAAGTCACAAAGCTAGTGGCTTTTTAAAAGTCGGGAGTGTGGCAAGCAAGAAGGCACCCTCTGCCTAGAACTACACCGCCTAGTCCTAAAGTATTGAGAATACAGCTCATGTTTCAGAGGAGAAATGAAACACCGACAAGATGAGACAAAAAGATTCCCTGTCGCCCGAACCTAAAAAGCCCTTCTTCTACCTGTAGATCCACTTAGTATGACGTCCATGGGCAGATGTGTGGGCCCTAAGTGGGGGACAGTTGGGGGAACAAGAATGACCCCCCCCCAGCATCAAGGTCGGGATGGAGATGAAATGTCATGGGCCTCCAGACAACAGGGCTGCACAGGGGTGGGCACGGCTTGTCCCCTTCCCCACGGGCTCTCGGGGTGGGGTGGGGGGAATGCAAGCCTGGAGCTCCACGTGACCCCTCCCCATGACTCCCAAGCGTCTCCAGGCCTGAGGCTCTCCCCGAGTTCTAGGCTCACTCCCACAACGGGCTGTTTCCACCTGAAAATCCATCAGCCGGCTCAGACCTAGCATGCATAGACGAGAATCCTGGTGTCGCCCTCTCCCCCAGCCTCCCACCCCCCACCCCAGTGGGTGCTGGGTGCTCTTCCCAGTCTTGCTGTCAGACTCCTCTTCCTCTCCCTCTCCTCCCTGCAGTCCCCCCCACCCTGCTGCTCAAGCCCCCAGCCTTGGTGCTCTGTCCCTCACATGTCCCATCCCACCTACTCACTCGTCTGCAGCTGCAAACTAGGGCTGGAATTGGAGCATTCCTCCCGCCCACCACCTCGTCTCCACCACTGCCCTGACATGCACCTGTCACCCAGCGCCCACATCGCAATCTGTCCGGACAGGCCCACAGCTGCCACCTCTTCCTCACTCCGTCCCACTCCATGCAGCAGAGAGGCTTGGACCACGTGCCGGACCTGCCATCCTCAGCCTGAACACGTCCAGACACAGAATCAGAGGGAAACCTTCACTGCAGCCCGGATGGCCTGTCCACGCGGCTTCTGCCTCCATCTTGTCTCCTCCTGTGCCTCCCCACCGTGCGTGTGTGCGTGTGCTTCCATGTGCCGGGCCCCCTTTCCCCCTCGACCCTTCCACTGGCTGGATCCTCTGCCTGGAGAGCTTCCACCTGAACGAAGGCTCTGATTTCGCCACATCCTTGCCCACGCTCGTTATCACAGGCATACCTTGGACTTCACCTTGGACTCGGACTTCACTTTCGTGCACTGCGCTAGTTTTCCAAATGCAAGGTGCGCGGCAACCCCGCGTCAAGCCAGAGTGTTGGCACCATTTTTCCAACAGCATTTGTTTACTTCGTGTCTCTGTGCCACATTTTGGTAATTCTCACAGTATCTCAAACCGTTTCATGATTGCTGCACCTGTTAGAGTGATCTGTGATCAGTGACTATGACTCACTGAAAGCTCACGTGACAGCATTTAGCAGTATTTTTTAATTATTTTTTATTTTTTTAGCAGTATTTTTTGATGAAGGTATGCACACTGTCCTTTACGCGTATGCTGCTGCATACATAACAGACCCCATAAAGTGTACGCATGACTTTCATATGCACTGGGAAGCCAACAGTTTCCTCTGACTCCCTTCCGTGTGGTGGTCTGGAACCGAATCCACGGCGACTCTGAGGTGTGCCTGTATCTGCGTAGTCGTCCTGGTGGGTGTGAGATGGCATCTCGTTGTGGTTTTGATGTCCATTTCCCTGAGGACCAACGATGTGCATCTTTTCATGTGCATTGGCCACCTGTATGTCTTCCTTGGAGAAATTTCTGTTCAGATCCTCTGCCCGCTTTTAATTTATCATCTTGTTGTTGGGTCTAAAGCATCCTTTGTACATTCTGGACGCAGACCCTTTATCAGGTGTGGGATCCACACACACCTGCTCCCACTCTATGGGCGATCTTTTCACTTTCCAGCTTTACTGCCCGTCGAAGCAGCAGAAAGGGTTTCACTTTGACGAGAGCCCATTTGTTCAGCTTTCCCTGTTGCCACTTGTGCTTTGGGTGTCCTGTCCTTAGTAATCCTTGGTCAGATCTGAGGTCGGGAAGATTCGGCCCAAAGAGCTTTTAGGTCCCAGATCCGTTTAGGTTTTTGGTCTGCTTTGAGTTAACTTTTGTATAAGGTGAGGTTAAGTGTGGAGCCGCCCTTGTGTGTGTGGTTGTCCCCTCCTCCCGGCACCACCTGAAGGGACTGCTCCCACCCCAACGAGGCGTCTTGGCCCGCCTGTCGGAAATCGGCTGGCCGCACATACACGGTTTTAGTTCTGGACTCTCAGTTCAATCCTGCTGCTCTGTACACCTATCCTATACGTACCCTGTGTTACTGCTGCTCTGTTGTGAGTTCTGAAGTTGGGAAGTGTGAGTCCTCTTACGTGTTCTTTTTCAAGGCTGTTCTGGCTATCTTGAGTTCCCCGTACATCCCTCATGGATTTCAGAATCGACCTGTTAATTTCTACAGAGAAGCCAGCTGGCACTCTGATGTAGAATGCACTAAAACTGTAGATCAATTTGGGGTATATTGACACGATCTTGGGAAGTTTTTCCATTTATTTGGGTCATCTTTAATTTCTTTCAACAATGTTTTATAATTTTCAAAGTAGAAGTTTTACACTGTGGTTGAATTTACTCCCTAAGTACTTTATTCCTTTTGATGCTATAAGGGAATTGTTGCCTCTTAAATTTCATTTTCAGATTGTTCACTGAGAATATATAAAAATTAAACTGATTTTTGTGTATTGATTTTGTATCCTGCAACCTGACAAACCAATTTACTACTTTATTTTGGGAGATGCCTTCAAATTTTCTGTATACAAGATCAGGTAGCTGGTGAACAGAAAAAACTCCCTTCCTAATCTACATTTTAATCTCATTTGGTATCTGAGCCAACCTAATTGCCACCCAGTGCTAAATCTGAAGAAGGATACGGCCCAGTCCTTGGTGTTGAGCGATGGATCCACACGCTAATGTGAGATGTGCGGTTTGGTAAGCTAGCTCACATAATGCTCACAACAAACCACGGCTACACGGTACCACAAGAAAGTGCAGACTCAGAGTTTAAATAAATTGTCCAGGTCATAGCCCAGGACAGAGGCCAGGCTGTGAAACCAGCCCAGTCTGTAAGCCCTTCCATGACACCATGCTGCAGCCATGTTTTTTTCTCTTCCCCTGCAAACAGGAACTAGACAAAGGTGGGCTACAGTATGGTAATAGCTTTCTTTTGGCAAAAAACAATACGAAGTATTTAGGAATCTGTTATATACGCAGGGATTTATACATACAGTACATTGTGTACATTTTTAATAAGAGCCAGTTCAGATATTATTATTCCTTGGGATTCCACGTAACCAAGGAAGAGAGGCCTGCATAACAAGCATCACCAAATGACCTTGAAGGAAAGGGTGGCCTGTGGAGTTGAAGGGACAGTGAGGCTGAGCCAGCAGAAGCAGGCAGGTGCCAGGCTGAAGGGGAAAAGGCAGGAGAGGACTGGCCATAGGGCAGCTCAGAAAGACATCCCAGGACCAAGACGGGAGTGGGGGAGTGTCTCAACACACAAGGAGAGCAGTAAGCAAAGGCAGCACCAATGACAACCTTACACCCTCCCCCCTGTACCCCTGAAAGGTAGGTATCATCACTCCCATTTTAAAGATGGGGGAGCTGGTGGGCGCCTGGGTGGCTCAGTCGGTTAAGGGTCCTACTTCAGTTCGGGTCATGATCTCACAGTTCGTGGGTTTGAGCCCCGCGTCGGGCTCTGTGCTGAAAGCTCAGAGCCTGGAACCTGCTCCGGATTCTGTGTCTCCCTCTCTCTCTGCCCCTCCCCCACTCACGCCCTCTCTGTCTCTCAAAAATAAATAAACGTTAAAAAAAATTATTTTTTTAAATGGGGGAGCTGGTGCTCAGAAGTGTCAGTAGGTGTTGGAGCTGGGATCACAATGCCCTAGAAGAGACAGTCTTCAAACCATTCTGGGTCCTAAGCAGGGGTCAGAAGCTAAACTGGAGAGTTTTCCCGTTTTAATATATGGTGGGCTAATAACTCGTGATAACTTGCGATTATAAAACAACAAATGCTGACTTTACAATAAAAATATAAACTGTGAGGGAGTGTTCTTTTACTCTGACCGTTTACTTTCTATTGCCCAGAGGCATTAGTTCCTTTTACATGAGGAAACACTTCCACAGCAACTAAAGGCAATCAGCCTTTCAAATCACCTCCCTCCCTCCCCGTCTTCCTCCGCTTTCTTCAACGAAGACTTACTGACTTCCTCGGTGTCAGGCACTGTTCTGGGTGCCAGTGTGAGAATAGTGAACAAAACACAGACATTCCTGTCCTCGTGAGAGCTACGTTTTAGTAGGAGAGACAGGTCCTGAAGAATATAAATGACTACAACAAACAGAAGGCTAGCGGTACGTGCCGGGGAGAAGGATAAAGCAGGGAAGATGGGAGGTGCTGGGAGGCCTCGGTCCTTCATCTTCCCTTCACCCATCCTCCTTCTGGGGGGACCCCAGCCTGTCTCAGGGGATCGGTGCTGCCTACAGACCTGTCCCCTGACCTCTAGACTCAAAAACGCAACTCCCGACCAACCTCTCTGCCAAGCATCTCAAAGTCAACGAGCCCCACCACTGAGCTCCTGATCAAACCCATCTCCGCATCTCAGGGAAGGACAGCAAACCTCTCCCTCGTCAAAACCGCCACAGCCTTCCTCCACCCCTCCTGCCTCTCACGTCTACGTACAGGAAGCGATTTCTGTGGCTCTACTTTCAGAACGAACCCAGAACTCCACCACGTCCCCCCACTCCCCTGCCACCATGTGTGTGTGCTCACCAGTACCTTGTTCTGGGTGACTGCGGCAGGCTCTTAACTGTCACTATTTCTCTTCAACAGAGCAACCACAGGGGCCCTGCTCAAACCGGGTTTGACAGTGCTCTGTGCACACCTCCCCACAGCTTCCCACCTCCTTCAGAGTCAAACCCACAGTCCCCAGGGCACTTGGGTGGCCCAGGCAGTTGAGTGTCCGACGTCGGCTCAGGTCGTGATCTCACGGTTTGTGAGTTCGAGCCCCACGTCAGGCTCTGTGCTGACAGCCCAGAGCCTGGAGACTGCTTTGGATTTCATTTCTCCCTCCCTCTCTGCCCCTCCCCTGCTCACGCTGTCTCTCTCTCAAAAATAAACAAACATTTAAAAAAAAAATTTAAAAAAAAAACGTAACAGTCCTAGACTCCGTGACTTTGGTGCCCGGGTATTTCCCGGCTGGGTGGCCCCCTGCCCTCTCCCTTGCTCTCCAGCCTCCAGGCTGCTCCCCCACCATAAGGCAGGCCCCCGTCTCGGGGCCTCTGCACTTCCAATGTCCTCTGCCTGTGACACTCTCCCCCCAGGAGACACGGGGCTCGCTCCTCACTGCCCTTGGGTCTTTACTGAAATATCAAGGTCTCTGACCTCTCTGACAGGCCCAATCTCTCCTGTTACCCGGCTCCGCGAGGGCAGACTGGCTGCATCTCTTCACGTGAGATCTACCCTCAGCTGGGCCCCAAGAATCTGCACTGGCTTCTCCCCACTCTCGTCAGCCCCAACAATACTTCTTGCATGAATGAATGATTAAATGAGTATGCTGTGTCTGGTTCGAGTAAATGCAAACACGGTATCCCTGTGTATTGTCTTAGGAAGGGCAGGCCCCGTTAGTTCACGAGTGATGTCGGGGCTCTCCCTCGTTAGGGACCAGTGGACACAGGAGTGCAAAGCCTCTGGCCCATGGGGTCAAGGCAGCCACCAGAGAGGATGGGCTCAGGCTCTACAAAGAGTGACTCAGGTGCTGCCCGTTCCTTGGTTTCTCGATTTCCTCACACATACATGACGACAGCACCACCTCAAAGACCCAAGGAGACTCGACCTGTTGATGCCCCAGCAGGAACCCAGCACAGTGAAGGGGCTGGTGAGACACCAGTTTCCCTGCCCCCCGACACGGTTCCCAACTACAGAAAGGGTCTCTGGCATCTTTCAGGCGCTCATTCCTACGCTGCATTCTGAATCCCCTCTCTTGTAAAAAGCAGGGAATAAATCAGATGGGGAGGCATATAAATCCTGGGTCCACCATTTATGAGCTTTTCAGTTTCCCAGCCTCTCGGAGCCTTTCAGAAGGCTCATCTGAGAAACAGGCTCATGAAACGCATTCCAGAGGCCTGCTCTAAGGGTGGCGGTGATGTCCGTAAAGATTCAGGGCAGGGCCTGGCATCTGGGAGACGTGCAGTAAATGAGAGCCACTGTGACAATACGGAAGAGGGGACTGACTCTCGGCCCCTGGATCACCAGCATCCCGGGATTCACACAAAGCAAAATTCCACGGCCGCCACACCTGAGATACAGCAAACCAGGCACACGCTGTCCATACACGGCGGCCAGGCAGGGTCAACGCTAACAGTATGCCGAGACCACGGGGACGGCGCAGCACGTGGGTGCCGGGGCCCCTGAGACTGGCGTGCACTATTCCTCGGGCAGAGAGCTCTTCTTTTCTTCCTGGTTCTCAGTCTCCAGTCCCCAACCTCGTGATGCACCACAACTCAGGTCCCTTCCCCGGACCCCGCCAGCTCCCAGGTGACTGCAGCAGCCCCCTGTGCCGGCCCGACAGTCACTAGCTCCAACCGGGACAGAAAAGAGCTGGCCCTTCTGTGTTTCCCTCGCTTTATGCAAATGCAAACACCACAAGCTGTCTAGGACTGTGTTCCTTCTTTGTCTGCTTTGCATTTGTGCCAACGTGTCCTAAGGAAGATTCTGATGCATACCTGGATATTCCTCAGTGACAGATTTTTCTCCAGAGTCTTGCGAAGGACTCCGTGAAACTTTCTCAGAAGACACGGATGCCCTGGTCTTTGTCCTTGGTTCCGGTTCCAGCTTAGATCTAAATAAATAATTAGCAATCACATAAGTTGCTTCTACAAGATTCTGTCCTGACAACACACGCAGTCACACGTGACCCCCGCACACTGGTTCTGTGCTCTCCGCCAGAGAGCAGAGTTGCTAACCAGCGGCCATCCCAACGCACCTCCCGCGGGACACTCACTACAAGGTGCCAGCGTCACTGCCTGCACGGGGTGGGAGTGGGGGG